CTCATTCAGTTTTATGTCTTATAGGGTTTATACTGAGTTCAATATTGGATAACTGTATTAATTCAACTGTGAGCCTAAAAATTTATAGCCAATTTTGAAAGAGATGCATCCTTGCTCTGGATATTGTTATTGAATATGTTAAAGCTGTAGTGAAATTATTCTTCTAATTGTAGTTATTAAAAATTTTTTAAAAAATGATAAAAAATAATTCTTCAAAACATAAAAATTTGCTCCTTAATAATTAGTAGATGTGAAAAGCATTATCATTGAAATCTACCTGGTGACTTTATATCCATGCTCAGATGCCAAGGAGCTCAGAAAGTAACCAACTGTAACTAGTAATAATCAGATATATAGAGATTGGAAACTCATATGAATCTTAGTGTTAATTGTATTAAAAATGAAAAATTTTAAAAAAGATAAAAAAATAATAATTCTTTAAAAAATTTACAGCCAATTTTGAAAGAGATGTATCTTAGCTCTGGAAATTGTTATTGAATATGTCAATGCTGTTATAATGAAAAGCTTCTTCTAAGTATGTGGTTATTAAATAAATAGTTTAAAAAAATAGAGGCTACAAAGTAAGCCAGCAAGATGGCTTAGCAGGTAAATGTACTTGTTTCCAAGCAAGACAACCTTAATCTGATCCCAGAAAACTGACTGCTCAAAACTGTCCTCTAACCTCTATGTGTACACATCCCCCACACAAAATAAAGTATAACAAAATGTAAAAAAAAAAAAAAAAAAAAGAACCCTGAGTTTAGTTGAGTATTTTGCTATAAGGTTTAAAAGCACTATGCTTCCGGCCTCTCCTCAACAATGTGTGGCTGTAATCTAAATTCTGGTCAATAAAATGCCTGCAGAAGAACTGCCTAAAATTTCTAAAGTTCCTTCGAAAGCTAGGGGATGGATTGCTCTATCTCTCTCTTCTGCTACTTTGAATGTAGATGTGATGGATGGGAAGGGGCGAGCAGAGAAGGCATCTTGTACAAACATAAACCATAGTTATACCCTAGAAGAATAGTAGGAAATCAGGAGCCTGGGTTCCATGAGTTCTATGGAGTTGCTAGTTGTGTTCTGAATTGTTATTTTATGTGAGAAATTCTTATGTCATTCAAGTGGTTTTCATTTCTTAACCTTTTTCTTTTTGGTTTATGTGTGTTTTGTTATAAGCAGTCAAAATGTAGCAGTTGCCAGGCGTGGTGGTGCACATCTTTAATCCCAGCACCCTGGGAAGCAGAGGGAGGCAGATCTCTTGTGAGTTCAAGGCCAGCCTCATCTACATAGTGAGTTTAGTGAGTCCTAGGCCAGCTGGGGCTACTGGAAGACCCTGTCTCAAAAAGACCAAAAAACAAAGAAAAACAAGAAATATAGTGGTAAACATGGCTTTGGACACCTTGAGTTGGAGAAGTCTAGTAGATGACTGAGTAGAAAGGTGAACTAGGTAGCTGGTGCATCAGTCTGGAAGTCAAAAGAGAGGTCTAAGAGAGAGATACAGTTTTTAGGTCTAAGACACAGCTTCAGATGAAAGGTGACACTAAGTTGGGGCACTGGGACATGCCATGACGTAGAGAAGGGATAAAGGAAGATGAAGATGGAGCAACAAGGAGGCGGGAGGGAAACTAAGTAAGATTATGGTGGCCCAAGAGCTAAATGAGGACTCTGTTTCAAGGAGGAGCATGGTGGTGTGGTGGTCCAG